CTCTACCCCCTCCCCTTCCCCATACTGGCACGTTCCACCTCTCTGGGCCGGGTCGGGTGTCGACTGACGCCGCTGCTCTCAGCTCGTGGCCACTCGACCGATACCTCCCGTGACGACCGGGAGCTCCCGGGCCGTCTGGCCGTTACCGGGCCGGGAAACACGCCGTTACCGCCCGGGAAACACACGCCCAGGGTGGCGAATTTAGACGACCCACCCACAACTGCTGAGCTTCGGGAATGCCGGCGAAGGCACAGCGCAAAAACGTGCCGCCTCTGCCAGATACAATGACGCGGTGCTATCGTGGAAGTGGTCCGAATTGAGATCGTGACGGCGCTCAGAGGACCGTGAAGGCGCGAGGGGAGTGATTCAGTCAATCGTGTCGGTGTTAAAATGCCGAGGTGAATGGCTTGCATACCGGTCGGTTGCGGGTAACTGATACTCTCAGGCAAAATGAGCTGGTATTTGAAACTGTTGCCTTGCTATCAGGCTTATCTAAACAACCTTGCTTGTTACAAGATCAGGTCAGCCTATTTTTATTCATGATATTTATCGTATGCCATAGTGAAAGAAGCTAACGCGATGCGAGCTTTGTCATTCAGGTCAGAATCTCTATACACGTTCCGTAGAAATAACGCCTGGCCTCTTATCAAGCGAGTCCCCTCCACTTGGACTAGTGTCTGTTGGTCTAGTATCGTTTGGGCTAGTTCATTTGGTCTAGTGCTTTATTTGGTCTAGTGCCACTTGAGCTAGCTTCATTTGAGCTAGTGTTATATTTGGTCTAGTTCATTTGTGCTAGTTCCCGAAATTTATTTGAAATATATAGTTCCCTGATATGCTCGTTGTCGTATATATTTCGTTCGTTCGATTATGTATAACACACTTCAGATTTCAGATGTTCGGATGTTGGTGTACTTAGTTCAGATGCCCTTTTGCCGGAACAAACATATATAGAGTTTCTTCAAACCTTAAAGGCAACCCGCCCAAATCTTGATGTTTCGGATTTAAACGTTGGATACGTTGCGAAATTGCCTTTCTAGTTGGAGCTTCTGTTGTGGCTTCTCTACTCAAATTCATATCACTTATAATTCTTCTTGGACGCAAATTTGACGTTTCTGTCTGTTCCATGGCTTTGTCCAATGCCGAAACAACTTCAACTCTTGCCGGAACTGGGGGGTGGTTGTGAATTTGCCTAGTAACAACTTGTCTTTCGGTATGATATCGTAATGATGTTGAAACAGATCCTTTACATCCTTTGTTTTCGCATCGCCAATTTTGAGTGGTAATATTTGAAGTATTCTTTCGGTAGACAAAACCTTCGAAGCTTAATTTGTCCCCACCCCTTGATGACTTAAAAATTTCCATAGCTACAGCCGATAACCCGTAATTTGCGTCTATCACACAACAAATTTACCTCGCTTCAGTCGAAACAGAAAAGGAATGAAAGCTGCCTCGTGAAGTTCTGTAAAAAAATAAAATAACCGCAAAATCTTTTCCTCGTGAGTCTAATTATTGTGCCAAGCATGATAATACACCTCCATCATGGAAATGAGTCTGCTGAAAGCTAGACGAAATTACGGCACTAGACCAAAGGCACTAGCTCAAATGAATGGCACTTTGGCACTAGCTCAAACGAAACTAGCCAAACTGGCGCTAGACCAGCTGAAGCACTAGACCAATTGCACTAGCTCAAAAGGCACTAGACCAAATGATGCTAGACGAAGAGAGTGGCACCCTATCAAGCGTCCTTCACCTTTCGATGTGCAATGAATGACAGAATAAAGAATTCAAATTGTCATGCCTCACTAGCCACAATTTGGAAGATCCCATTCATATCTTAAGGTTATGCTCACATTTTAACCCTCGCCCTGGCAGGACATTTTTCATAACACGGCCTGGCAGGGGGGGGGGGGTCGATGCGACCCCCCCTCGCGATTGGCTCCTATGGCACCTAGAAACACCAAATTTGGTAGGTAGGTGGGCCCCCTGGAGTTCTCGCCCCTGTGCAAATTTGGTTGCTCTAGGTCAATATTTAGGGGGGGGGGGTTGGGGATATAAATGTCAAAATTTCGCTAAAAACAGGTCAAAAGTTTTTTGCTTATAACTTTTGATCTAATTAAGATAGAGCAAAAAGAAAAGCACCAGTGAACTCAGCACGTCAAGGCGCGTCGAATGATATACTTTTTCGCTTGCTTAAGTGTACTTTAAGTTTTTCTTGATTTTTAAGTAAACTTTAATTAATTAAGTTAAAGTTCACCAAATTGCATCATATTGCATATCATTCGATTCGACTGATCACCAGGAACACAATGACACCATTTTTTAAGCTCTAGCGTCATTATGCGCCAAGTTATTGGCAAAAACGTCATTTGACCTCAGTTGACCTCATTTGACCTGACCCATGGAAAAGTACACCAAACAAAGAAGCACCAAGTGACCTGCTGTTAAGTACAATGGTTTCAAAGCACAAAAGTGATAGAACGAAGCGGATATCTCCAGTATTTTCCGAATTTAGTATTTTCCCATAGGCTTAACATTACGACGTAATGACCTCTAACTGACCTCAGGTCAGTGACCTCAAAAAACTCGGACTATATGTTATACAACTCGGTGAACTTAGCACATCCTGAAAGTTTGAAGGAAATCAGTCCAACACTGTGAGCTGGACAGGTGCAAAAAGAAAATTGAAATTTGACCATGACCTTGTACCGGTTTTTCTGACCTGGTGACCTGAACTAAGGTCACCCGGACCTGAAGTTTTCAGGTCATATGTAAAAAGGTTGCCCCATAGGCTGTTCGAAATTTGGCGACGCTGCGCGCCGCCGTTTTTACGCCATCTTCGAAAAACCGTGGGGGGGGGGGTCGCATCGACCCCCCCCCCCCCTGCCAGGGCGAGGGTTAAGCAAATACGATTTACTCCGACAAAAATACGAAAAATAGGAATGCCTAGAAATAGAAAAAAAGTACAAATCTGAAACCTTGAAGTAATTGAATTTGGCTCGCATACATTAGGATATCTGGAAATACACCAAAGCAGAACTGAATCATTATGGGCACAGGCTCTGAAAGATGTAAACGTGCTTCCATTGCATTTATATCATCCGCTGGGCACTGCAAGATACGAATGCAGATGTTGCCGAAATACATAGATACGATTAGCTATTGGTCTTATAATCGACAGCAACTGACGACATCGAGGGCCCCACCGCATGGCGAGAGGGTCGATAAAAGATACAATGCGACGGTCTCTTCAACTTAACCTTCAAAACCTGTGATTACTACGTCAATTATTATCATTTTATTTGGTGGTAAAGAGTTTCTTGTCTGTTCTGCGTAGACTCTACAGCATTAGCCCTCACTATTTGTCCGATCCATCTAATTGTCTTAACAGACACTGGACTTTTCACTTTTGTAGCCCAGCATTATGCAGACAAATATGAAATTTAACACTATAGATGTTGCCGAAATAACGCATTTCACAAATCAAGGAATTTAATCAAAGAAGGATATCATGAAGCCAGCCATTCTAATTCCCTTAGCAAGGCCGGAATATAGATGTGAGGATTTTTTTTCTGCCACACGAAAAGGTGAGCTAAGGCCAGTGATAAGGGCGGTAACAGCTGCCGCGTGGCCAAGCCTTTCTCCTATAATTGCACTAGAAAATGACCAAACCACGAACTATGAAACAGCTAGTGTCACCTGAGAGAAAGAGGAGCAAGGAGCAATTAAGTTACCAATTTTTGAAAGACAGAAAAGTCGAGAGCGCACACAAAAACAACTCGTGCACTTATATTGGCCCACTCCGGTCGCATTAATCCGCACGAACTGAGCCCGGCCGCCTATTCCGAGGTAGGTGGTCCAGCTTTAGCCTGTGACGCTCTGTGCTTGGTACGGGAGGTTCTCAGTAAGGAAGACCGCTCACTGCTCAGCTCTAACCTGCTGGACACCGTGGGCCGTTATGTCCGACCGTCGGGGCTTATGTGCAGCACCGCCGCACATAGGGAGCGGTTTATACATGCGCAACTCCGACACTAAATGGAGCACTGGTGAAAAAATGACTACAGCGGCTGGTGTGGCCATTCTCTCACTCATGCCTTATCATCTCTCCACCAGCAGGCAGAATTTTGTTTTGTTTTTAGAAGCGTGCAATGCTTGGGTAGACGGAAATACACTACCGCACAGCAGCACAAGAGATAACATCGACTGTGGTTTGTCGCCTGTTTTGTGGCTCGGCTTGGTTACTGCAGACGGCACGCTACGTGATCACATCTTTGTTTCCTCGTCACAGCACGGGACAGTCCTGTCCTTGATCGAAATATGCCACATTTTCGCAGAAACCACTTCTCACTTCCGAACGGAACGGAACGGTTATTTTTAGCCGGAACAGAAATTACTTGACATTAGGTCGGTGCATTTATAAAATTACAGATATTTTATGCCTCTGATCGATTCAATGAGCAGATGCACTTTTAGGAGAATGTATCTAGTGAAACACGTTGGTAAAAAAAAACAGCTTTCATCTGGCTGATGTGATGTATAATTGAGACTTAGCGATGCATCATTAAGAATTAGTTGGCAATTAATCAGTTACAACATACTTTGCGCAGCGGCGAGCAAGTGCAAGACATGCCGCCATTCACTTTGCACATGTTACATCAGAGGTGTCTGGTAGAATGTAGTGCTGTGTGATGTAGACTTGACCTTTATTGTGCACTTGAATAATTGTAAGATTAACACTAGCGTAACCCTTTTTTAAGCAGTAGTAGTAATGCTGCCTCTCTAGAAATCGCTTCTTTACAACGTGAAGTACAATAGGTACTTGTGATGTATAGCATTCTAGATATCTGTTGCATGGTTGATAGCAGTATGCATGTAGTTCAGGAATAAGTGCATTGTTGCTCACTCACAATGCATACATCAGTGGTAGACACATTAGCAGCACGTATTACCTTGCTGTCCTTGAAATCAGCCGTACTGACATCGGCCTGGTGCGTCTGTTTCAGCGTCTCCGGCCAACCGCATCCGAAACCCGTTCACCAAGCCGTTCAAGAACGTCAACATCAGGTCGGTACTGGGCGCCTGGGACCTCCCCACACTCTTCTTTTGATGAGATGCTCTTAACCATAATAGAAAACGATCGATGAACGAGCGACCCAACACACAAATCGTAGGCCGTCCGCAGTGATACCATCCCCCCCCCCCCAACCGACTGACACAGTAACAGTAAGTCACCCCCTGCAGTGGCGGCTTCCGCTGCTGACAGCAGGTCAGGGCTGGGGCCTCCCCCCACGTTACGACTGCCACGGCGACCCGTCTCCGACCCTCAGGTTCATCAACACCAACGAGCTGAACGGCGCGTGTCGCAAGGGCATCCAGTTCGTGGACCAGCAGCGGCGCATGGGCGAGATGCTGCTGCAGCAGGACATCCGCGTGCGCTCCAACACGCCCGACGCCGGACACTTTAACTTCTTCAAGACGTCCAAACAGGCGCTCGACATGGGAAACAACGCCCTGTTCAACTCGGAGGCCGGCAACGGCCTGCTCATGCAGTAAGTGCGGTGACAGCGAATGTAGTCGAGTTGAGGCCTAATTGTAGCGTAATATATAGATACATTTGTAAAAATGGACGTTGAACAGCATACCAGCAAACATACGCTTCAACAGCTGTTTGTTAATAACTATGTAAACACAATCATTGTAGCATTCTCAACTTAGGAACGGTCTTTGTTTGCTGTGAAAACAACAATAAAACTAATACGATGTGCAAGGGAGCGTAGCAATATTTTTGACGAAGTACACTAATGTTTAGGCAGTTAACATTTGCAATCGCTATTAAATGCTCATTAAATGGTCATAAGAACTGATGTATGTTGGCGCTAATAGCACAGTCAATAACCCGGCCGTATGACTAGCGGAGACTGCATAACATCACATGACTGTAACACCAAAACGTGAAGACTGCAACAGCACACACAACACTAACACCAGATACTTTAACTGCAGCCATTTACATATGTGGCGAGGACTGCATCAGCACACACGACACTAACACCATAGTCTGGAGACTGCATCAATGAATGCGGCGAGGACTGCATCAGCACACACGACACTAACACCACATGCTGGAGACTGCAGCAATGTACATATGCGGTGCTAGCACCACACCGGCATTGGCTGCGTTTCAGCCATTCAGCATTATCGTACAAATTATTTGGAAACCTTTTAATGTCTTTTAATCACTTTATAAACCACTTGAAGCACTTTTGATGTGTTTTGATCACTTACAAAGCTTACTGAAGAGTGACACGGTGTCCACAGAATATTGGTTGTTGAGCTTCAAAGGGTTTATCACCTGCTGATAGAAAAAAAACCTTATGGAGCTCTGCGCGGCACCGGCATGTCAGATATTTTAATTCATATTGTCAACCACCACGTTCAGAATTCAGATAATATTGGGTCAGATGCCGCACGCTCGGACAGTACATCGATCTATTCATCAATAAGAGTAAAATCTTGGTCTCACATCAATCTACAGGGAAACAGCAATAGGTGCGATAAGATACCTCGGGCGATTTCGCAAAAGAATGTTTATATCAACCAATGATAAACAGATTAACGCGACGTAAGCCTATTTAACTTTTAGCATACAATAAGCTTGTCTGTCATGCACCACTGCACAGCTCATTGTTATTGTGCTTTGTATATTGCATTCTGTTGAATAATGCATCAAGGACCACCACGACAGTTGCACCACTGTCTTTGGCCTTTGCATTATTCTTTAAACAAAATAAATTAGTTCTCTATCGGTAAATTCATCGTGCCGGTTCTGTTTTGACTGGCTGGACTTGCGTTGCTTGTTGCGGGTATGTATGCACCGGGCTGTTTATAAGAAACTCAAGACTCAATGCTATGCAACACCTATTTACGATAATGCGACCGTATAAAACAAGCGCATACTCTACGTAGTCGTGTCGCTCCAAAGCACGCACCGTTCGCTCTGACCGCCCTCCCCTCCCCGCCGTCAGGTTCGGCCTGACCCCGGACCAGGGCGCGTTCGGCCTGCAGCAGTTCAGCGTGCTCAACACCATCATCAACCAGACCTGCGCCGCGCCGCCGCGCTGCAACCCCGGCTCGGTGTACCGCAGCGCCGACGGCAGCTGCAACAACCTCAACAACCCGGCCTGGGGCATGTCGCGCACGGCGCTGCAGCGCATCCTGGCGCCCGCCTACGAGAACGGCATCTTCACGCCGCGCGTGGCGGCCGACGGCGGCGCGCTGCCCTCGGCACGCGACGTCTCCAACCTGGCGACCGGCAGCACCAACGACCCGTACCCCGACCTGGCCATCTCGGTGATGACCTGGGGCCAGTTTCTGGACCACGACCTATCCATCTCGCCCATCTTCCGTCTCGGTGAGTGGTGACACGAACAAACGAGGGTGGGGACAGAGCGGCCGTTGTTTGATAACTTATAACACCTACTGTATGCTCGGAGGTAAATGGTTATAGAGGGTTATGGGACGGTGTGGCGCTAAAAGAGTAGAGTGGCAGAGGAAGAGAGGGGCAGTAGAAAGTGTGACACCAGGGAAGGCTGTGGTACAAATGCTACGAGCGTGTTCGCGTCTCTGTGGTGCCGGATGCAACGGCTGATATGACTGATCTCTAAACATGCGACGTGCATGTTCGAGACAAGCATGATTCCTTTTCGGTCGTCACCGTTAGAAAGAGGGCCGAATATGGATGCCATTCGCTAGATGTTATTCTTTAATTTCAAGGTCAATGCATGAAGAACTTTGTTACAAGCAAATATGTACACTTTTTGTTCCCTTTGTGGCGTTCATAAGGGTAAATGAAAAACAGTCGACATGAAAAAATTAGTTTACACCTGTTTCTATTACTGACATTGAGCATTGAGCAACTGCAATTGAATCAGCGGGCCACTGAGGATATAGCTGACGCAGCACCACTCTGATGTTACAGAGGGCAGCTCGGGTATCGAGTGCTGCACGGAGGAGGGCAAGGACCTGCCCGTCAGCCTGCGCCACCCGCAGTGCTTCCCCATTCCGGTCTCAGAGTTCGACCCCTTCTACAGACAGTAAGTGTCCAATACTTTTTTATTCTTTTACCTCGCACCTCTTGCAAATAATTGCACTTTCATCGATAGCTAATGTAAGCGTGATGCAGTTCGTCATTGCTATGCTGCATTCCATGAATACGATATCCGATTTCCATCAGTGCCACCGAGTGGTATGTCATGGCCGCATACAGCAGTCACCACCTCTGCCAACAGCTGACCACTGCTCCCCTCCTTCCAGGTTCGGCCGCACCTGCCTCAACTTTGTCCGCTCGCTGCCGGCGCCGCGGCCCGACTGTAACTTCGGGTACGCCGAGCAGATGAACGCGCTCACGCACTACATGGACGCGTCCATGATCTACGGCTCTGACGACGAGCAGTCGCGCGGGCTGCGCGCCTTCCGCGGCGGCCTGCTGCTCAACTCGCGGCCCGGCGCGCTGCCCGTCGAGACCGGCGAGCTGGAGGAGTGCTTCGCCAAGGAGATCGGCGCCGAGTGCTACAAGGCCGGCGACGGCCGAGTCAACGAGAACCTGCCGCTGACGGTGATGCACACGGTGTGGATGCGCGAGCACAACCGTGTGGCGCGCGCCCTGGACGAGCAGGCGCGCCGCCTGTACGGCCAGCAGCTATCCGACGAGCAGCTCTACCAGGAGGCGCGTCGCATCGTCACCGCCGAGTGGCAGCACATCAACTACAACGAGTGGCTGCCCATAGTGCTCGGTGGGTGACGCGACGCAAAGCGATGGGCAGTCTCACCAAGGGTGGTTTATGCCGTCCCGGTCCGCCATTTCGGTGCACAGGGGCGCGTCGTTTCCGCTTGCGTGCACGAGTATTGGATTGAGCAGTACTTTTTCACCGCTGACACGCGACTCGCGCGTCACTCATTCATTCCACGGGCGCGTGTCCATTGTTCCTCCGGCACGCCCCAGCTAGTTGTTCAGCGATTGGACGCGACCGTTCCCATTACTGTCCCAAAAGATGTCCGAACCACCGTTTTCCTTCTAACCAGCTGTGATAGCGCACCGGCCGCGGGCGCGGTCGGCAGCTGCGGTCTGCAGTCGGGCGGGCCCACTCCGGTCTCACACGGTCGCGTGCCGCCGCGCTCGGTGCCATCCGGCTGTAGGCGGGCGCACGTGCGACCCCTCCCTTCCCCTGGTCTGACGGTGTGCGCCGCCCGCAGGCCGCCAGTTTATGGACGTGTACGACCTGAAGCCCAAGACGAGCGGCTACTCGTTCGACTACCGGCCCGACATCAACCCGTCCATCAACAACGAGTTCAGCACGGCCGCCTTCCGGTTCGGCCACACGCTCGTCCAGAACCACGTCCAGTGAGTGAACAACCCCGTCCAGAACCACGTCCAGTGAGGCGCCACATCAGTTCGAGCGAATGAGGGCACGTCACAGGCCGTTCGCCTAAGAGCTGACCTTTTTTGTACAGCAAAGATTTGAAAAGCAGGCCGGTGTGTCAAATCATTGATTAACCGTGTCGTAACACTTAACAGCATGACTATTTCGAAGTATCTTAACCCTCGCCAGGCGAGGGCCTTTTCCATAACACGGACGGCGAGGGGGGGGGGTTGGTTGGTACGACCCCCCCTCGCGATTGGCTCATATGGCACTTAGAAACGCCAAATTTACAGGGTAGGTGGGTCCATAGAAGATCTCGCCCCTGTGAAAGTTTGGTGACTCTAAGTCAATATTTAGGGGGGTTTTGGGGGGGTATGAGAGCAAAAATTTTGCTAAAACATGTTAAAAGTTTTTCGCTTATAACTTTTTATCTAGTAAAGATAGAGCAAAAATAAAAGCACCAGTGAACTCAGGACGTCCGTGCGCATCGAATGATATACTTTGTTATCAATTTAAGTGAACTCTGGAATTCAGTTGCCGCTAAGCTAGTCCAATTTTCCCCTGACCTTGTACCGGTTTTTGTGACCTGGTGACCTGACCTGAAAAGACTGGGACTTCAAATTTTCAGGAAAGGTGCGAAAATGTTGCCCCAGAGAATATGCCAAATTTGACGGCGCTACGCGCCGCCGTTTTTACGTTATTTGCGAGAAACCTTAGGGGGGGTTGCATCAACCCCCCCCCTCGTCGGGCGAGGGTTAACGCGGTTATCGGCAATCCGTTAGCAGAGTTTTTCAGTCATACAATGAAAAGGATCGTCCACATCACAATGCGGCTTTCAGTGGACAGATCGTGTTTCAAAACACCGATGATACCGGCTGACACCATGTGTATTGGACCCTCTTCACCAACCGCATTGACTGATGGTAAAAATATGACCTGAGATGCAGTCGCCCATTACCAATATAAGCACATGAATACGTGTCATGAGAGCGGCGACAGATGGTCGGCATTGGCCCATCTGCACGCCAGGTGGACTGCGAGAGGGTGAACTCATCCGAGGGTCCTGCAGAGCATGTCATGATGTAAAATTATCACGCAATAGTTATCGTTGAAATCGTTTTCTCCCAGGGCAGCCACAGCTCTTGGGTTCAAACCACGCTCGCCAATAGCGCTCATCCATCAGCGAACGGCGTCTTCACCTGGCGCTATGCAAACCTGTGGTCAGAGTATGCAATATGATCAACTGAGCGTCAAGCTCACGGCTCGCTGAGCTTGGCCTGCCTTTCGCCCGGTGCGGCCGAGGTGCCTGTCACCACGGTGCCTGCACCGTCCCCCGGCCACAGAGGAGCCCTTTCAGCGCACCCGCCGCACCCATTAGTGGGCGCAGACTCTCAGTGGTCGGCCTACCCCACGGGAAAACGGACGGACGGTGAAAGTGTGACCAGACGAGGTGCCAATGACTGGGATACTTCTGACCTGCCGGATTGGGTGCAATGCTGCCAAAAGGAGCCCTTGAACTTAAAAACGCTTTAATATGTCAATCTCCCGGTTGTGTAATGATATGGCGGGTACGGCTCATCTTTGTGGTCCGTTTTCTTATTAAACCCGCGCACCGACGGGGGTCTGCGCCAACTTCGTACCGACGGGGGGGGGGGCGGATGACCGCCCCCCTGAGATCTCGAGAACGAAGCAAGATAGCGACAAGCGGTAAACGGCAAGGGATACGCACGGACAAGGTCTACAATTTTTACTAAGGTCATTTTCAGGTCAGGTCAAAGATGACGTCACAGGGGTCAAAAAAGTCAAAATGGCGGCGCTAGGTATGGATAGTTTTTCTCGAATAACTTTCGAACTAGTCAATATAGGAACAAACTAAGGGCATCATCGTGATCCTCTCGTCAATCCGCATCGAATGATATATATGTTGACATCGAAAGGTCAAGGTCAAAGGTTGACCTCAGGTCACGTGACCTCGAGGTCATCATGTATATCATTCGATGCGCCTTGATGAGCTGAACACAATGAGACCATCCGCGCGGCTGTATCTCGTTCCTGTACGGAGTTATTGTCAAAAAACCGCTGGTGACCTTTGATGACGTCACATGACCTTACAGCTGCCCAACAGCAAATTAGACCTCAAGGTAGTGAAGGTTGATCGTATATGAGGTCATGTATGGTTTATGGGGCCATTCCGACCCGTTTTAGTGGTAAAAACAGGGAGTTGATTTTTCCCCCATTGACTTATAATGGGGAGGTCGAAAAATTGACCTGACCTTAGGTCATCGATATCAAAATTCCGAGCTATACAAATTGTAGCTACTATTGACCTTATAACATCCTGCGACTTTCAAAGGCCTCCGACATCTACTGTAGCTCTGGCACGGTGTCAAAGTTGCAAAAAAGTAACTTGAGGCTGGGTCATTCAAAGTGACCTGGTGACCTGACCTTTAAAGTTAGGAGGTTCAAACTCGCACACCATGTGTAAAATTGATGAGAGAATAGTCGTACCAAATTTCGCGGCGCTTCCCGCTATTCGCGAAAAACCTCAGGGGGGGGGGGGGCGGATATCCACCCCCCCCCGTCGGTGCGCGTGTTAAGTAACCGGCTCGGACGTCGGACAAATAAATTATTGGTGGCCGCCTCAGCCTTTTGACATTTACCTTCCACCGTAGCCCGATAACGTGATGCTCTCACTTCATCAGATTCTCTAGAATAGGTACTTCCAGTGCGTTTTTCATCAAGCAAATCACCATCCTACGGTTAAGCTGACTAAAACCTGAATAACTGTGAAGAAGGCTAATCGGTTAGCAGTAAGCAGTAGCACCGCACTATATGAGATCACTGAAGTGTGTGTCTGACACCATCGGACTGCGTGTCTTACGTCACTGGAGATAGGCAGTGACGTCACTAGGGTGCGTGTTTACCGCCACCTGACGTCACTGAACTGCGTGTGTGATGTTGCCGGAGTACGTGTCTGATGTCACTGCCGCCCGTATCTGACGTGACTGTCGCCGTGCCCGCAGGCTGTTCCGCGACGCGCGGTCCCAGAGCGGCGCTCTGCAGCTGCGAGATGTGCTCAACAACCCCAGTCTGCTGAACAGAGAGACGGGCATCCTGGAGTCGGTGGTGCGCGGCTTCTACCTGCAGCGCGCTCAGCGCTTCGACGAAAAGTGAGCGCCACAATCACTCCCCGAAATGCACGCTCCGGTGCGTTTCCTGTTGGAAATTCCATGACCACGTATGCTCTGCTCTGTTAGATAACACCGTAAATTCTGGTGTAGTTTTGAGCGTGCTCCGAGCAGAACAAATCCACTATGTTCCATCTTGATAAGTTTAGTGTTACGTCCGTAACATGCGACTTAAATGCCGAGCGAGGTTTAAATGCTAAATACGTCTGGTGTAGAGGCCGAAGGCGAAAGTGAATGTGTAACGGGCTCAGGGCTGTCGGCGTTCGCGCCGGACCTTGTCTCTGTGGCGGACAACGGACCATTAACAGACGTCACTAAACATGTCAACCATAAACGCTGCTCGGAGTTTTCAGCCGGGAGAATGTTTGCTGGCTCAGTGTTGGCTCAATTTACATATGTTCGGGCGTCGACAGCCGACCTGATATCCCCGCTGCCCTCATGGCCCGTATCTCTCTCACCGCCGGCCGTTCGATTTTCAGCGTCATCGACGACCTGAAGAACCACCTGTTCCAGCCGCCGGGCGGACGCCAGGGCATGGACCTGGTGGCGCTGAACGTGCAGCGCGGTCGCGACCACGGCATCCCCTCCTACAACGAGATGAGGGAGAAGTGCGGCCTGCGCCGGGCCACCCGCTTCGAGGATCTCTACGGAGACCTGCCCAACGACGTGAGCACGGGCGCCACTGTGCCGGGAACTGACGACTAATACTGAGCGGTTAGAAGTGTCCTTCACGGGATCCCAGTGTCTGTCTCGGCCACCCTCTTCACTTGCAAGCGAATCAGTGGGGCTGAATAATTCATCGACCTGATCGCACCAGCCAGTAGTCAGCATTGATAGCAGAACACACCAGACATGCACCCACTGACCCCTATAATGACCCCCTCTGTGGCAGGTGGTGGACCGGATGCGCTCCATCTACCGTTCGGTGGACGACATTGACCTGTTCCCGGCCGGCATCGCCGAGCGGCCCGTGCCCGGCGCCCTGCTCGGACACACCTTCCTCTGCATCGTCGGAGACCAGTTCGCCCGGCTCAAGAAGGGAGACAGGTTCTTCTACGACCTGGGCGGACAGCCGCACTCCTTCACAGAGGGTGAGCGATCAGAGCACGCCGCGGTGGGGTAGAGAACGCAAACCGGGGCCTCGAGACGACCGTTCGACCCGTGCTTACACCCGGCCGCAGAGGCTCGGTCATTCAAGGACGAGAGCTCATTGGTAATGCAGCGATGCACTGTGAGTGACAACTGTTTTGCCACTCGAGTGGGACGGTTGCGGCTCGAATCTCATAATCCTTCGGCGAATGTGGCGCAGTTTGCATTGCCGAGCGCAGCGGCTTGGCGGCTAACATAAATCGGGACGGGCGCGGGGAATCCCTGGGATGACCGCGAGCTGATGGATGAAGTGACCGGACTATCAGGAATGGATGACAGCGAATCAGGGAACACCAAATGCGCCATTACTGTTCCGAATAGCCACACGAAGCGACAGTGCGATTCAATGCCAGGGGATAAAGCGTGACCGTTGATGTTCGGAGTGACAATGTCATTTATCAGTGACCGAGCGGGGTAAATGAGGCTACCGAGTCACTGACACCACCCGTGTCCTTTCGCAGCGCAACTGTTTGAGATTCGCAAGACCAGCTGGGCGCGTATCATGTGTGACAACGTGCCGGGTCTGGCGGAGGTGCAGCCTCTGGCCTTCTACACGCCCAACTTCTAGTAAGTGGACGCCGAGAGTCTATTACGCTCAGGCTCGTAACTGACATAGGGTGTGGAGCACTGTGCCGGAATATTGTGATAACTAAAATTTAGTTTCTTCTTTCTTCTACCTATGTCATTCGACTAATTCCACAATGCGGTTAGGTTAGTAAGTGAGAAATAGCTCGGTTATGTTTAATCCTCTCCGCGTTTCTCGCGCCCCTCGCTGACCGCCGCCCTCCCGTTTCAGCAACCAGCTGACGTCGTGCAGCAGTTACGCGATCCCCAGTGTGGGATTCGCGGCCTTCGCCAGCCCGCTGCAGTAGCCGGCCGACGGCCCGCCCAGCCCCCGTGGAGTGAGCCCTCAGAAGGCCCGGGCCTTCTGAGGGCTCACCCGCCCCGCCCCGCCGGGAGCGACCGCCGCGCCGCGGGCAGGGGCCGGCGGCGAGCGGCAGGAACAGCCCACTGCGCCACCGCCTGACGCTGCGAGCCGCTCCCGTCCGGCGTGTCACCGTGATCAGTGACCGGGCGGGCGGCCCACAGCCGGGCTCGGGCGCTGGCCGGTCGGCTGCTCCTGCCGACAGCGGCGGGCGGGGCCCAGAGACCGATGGCCACTAGTATTACCGCTGTAGTCGCGTCGTGTCCGCGGCGCCGAGACAGGGTTTGTATACGATTGACGAGTGGTGCCCAGCCCCCAGCGTGGGAGCATTCAGAGAGTTACCCCAAAACAGAGTTACTCCAACTTTTAAGAACATTTTTTGTAAGTTATTGCTGCGGCTTGCGCCATTGTCCGTGTCATGTTGTTCGGGGAGAGGAGGGCTGACGGAGATCAGTGAAAGAAAATATAGAACGTCTATATAGAACAGCTGCCTTATCCACATGTGAATGAATCGAGAATGATATAGCATTTCGAAGAGGCAGGGCCTCAAAATACCTGTTGACGTACGGTGAATATATTTGACAAGTGACAACTTCCATACGTAGAGTACGGATGCGAATGTGATAACGCGCGGCGGAGGGGAGGTCGTCGCGCCCGGGGGAGCGGGCCGCGCCGACCGGACCGGACCCACCCGGTCAGGTCAGATCAGGTCACGGCTGGTAGGGCGCCAGTAGGTGCGCCGAGAACTCGGTGACGGCAGGCACGCCGCGCACCTCGTGGTCCAGCAGCGGCAGCTTGGTCACGTGGAAGTCCTCGTACAGGTCGGCAATCTGACGGGGAGAACGCGCCGCGGTCAGGGCAGGGCAGGGACGGTGGTAACCAAACGGTCACATCTGCAGATGCCACACTAATTAACAGCTACTCTCCAATGTGAAGTGTAACTGATCCTTTTTATAGTATATGAAAACTTACCCTAAACCGGGTCACGACCGGCGGCAGGTCAGCTCCCTCCGCCCCCCGTCTCGCAGTCTCACCTGGTCCAGGTATTTCTGCTGGATTCGACACCGAGCGGCGCACATCCTGCAGGGCCGCTCGCCGGGCTTCAGCATCAGCAGCTGGTTCACCACAATGTTGTGCGTGTCAATGCCGGTCTTGGTGAGCTCCTGGACTAGCCGTTCGGTCTCGTACAGCGAGAGGAACTCGGCGATACACACGCACACGAAGGTGGTCTGGTCCTGCGGCAGTGTAGAGGGGAAATCGCGACGGTCAACATGCTGCACATGGTTATAACGCATAGATGCGATATTATCGGCAGCCAGGAGACCTGCCTCACACAGTTAAATCAACCACAAGTCCCAGCAGTCTGATAAATTCGCCAGGCGGATCATACGCACACAGGACCTGCTATTACAGACAATTCGTCTGATGGGCTTAATTACAACTGAATATAATACGGGGTAATACCGAAGCGCTACACACCGCATGCATGGCGCCCCGGTGACCAAACCACCTCTCTGCAGCTTCAGTAAGACACAGCCACTTGGCTGTTGGGCGCACATCGGCGGCCCGCCGGCGCCTCGCCCCCTACTCCAACACACAGAGGAGAGGTAGCGCCGACACAGTGACCCCTGTCCGCGCGTCACCGGCACACCGCTGAACAGTTCGAGTTCGTGACCGGCGCCGGCGTAACGCCGCAGACCGGGGACCGGTTACGACACCCGGTAACTGATGGTGGCCGGGTCACACCCATAACACGGCTGATGTCGTGAACATTACGGCAGATACGTGGGCCGCGGCGGGGCCGGCCGGCGGCGGGGTACGCCAAATACCGGGACACCGCCGGGCGGGCGGGGGCCACGGTGACTCGTTACGTCATCCCAGAAAATGACCGGCTAGTGCCAAACCGTGTTTAAAGTGGTATCCGTGCCGTTAGTCAATGACTGGCCATGACCACAGTCGCCGTGAGAAACGAGGCTGATAACATTTCAGACACGGCAACTGGCACAGACAACTGAGTAAATGGCATGACTCGAAAACGGCACTGCTGACTAACAGCTTCGTCGCTAGATGGGTCAGTTTTATCTAGTCATTGCTATCTGATGGTTTTCCCCAGGTGTTAGCTAAACACACGGACTACAATCAGAATTCAACGGCATCTGGCTACCAATGACACACCAACATACAACATCAAACAGACGGCGAATGACACAAATCTCGCTCATAAGCAAACTACAGAAATAACACCGACATTATTATCGATGCATCTCAATTCATTTAAGTCCTACGTCAAAAATCACGCCACTCCCGCACGCCTGAGGAGGCGCCGCGCAGTGTGGCACTCACGGGGTTGCGGAACTGCTCGTTGACCTGCTGGATGATGGGCAACATGTTCTCGAGCCGCGCCGACATGTCATCTGGGTTGAAGTCGGAGAGGCCCAGTAAGCTGCCCATCTGGTGGAGGGGGACGGGGATGGCACGGTCAGTCTGAGAGGCCCAGTAAGCTGCCCATCCGGCGGAGGGGGGGGGGATACAGTCAGCTCTCCGTCAGTTCCCGCGTTACCATTACCGACCCGAGCAGCTGGCCCGGCGACCGGGGTCCCGTCGGAGTGGATTCACCACGAGGAAGTCCAAGGAGACAGGAAAACAGCCGGCGGGCCGACCGTTAGGTACCGGCCAGCAGAATCGCCCAGGAAAACGGGCCGGCATCGGATCACCGGCGCGCGGTCAGAGCCGGTCAGAGCCAGCGTCAGCCGCCGCCGTCATCCTACCTTCTAGTCAGTTTGCGTAATTATTTGTCGCAGAAATAACTACCTACATCAAATAACATCATGCTACCCACCTATGTTCCCAGAAGACAGTATTCACTTTTTTTTAAATGAGGATCCCTTTGCGTACTCAGTGGTATATTGGACCTTTACTGACCTTATGTCGATTTTTCCCAACGCGCGTTTAACATAAAAAGGTTAAAAACAGGATGGTAATCATAAAACGTGTGTTGACGCTGGCAGGAGGGAAACATTACGATTGAAGTTACCAGGAAAGAAATATGTGCAATTAAAAATCATAGACAACGCTTTCTAAAATAAGTCTCGAAAATCATTTGAACCAATTTAACTAAGAGAATGTTTGGAATGGATGTGTGAATAAATAAAGAGCCAGCCGAACGAATGAGCAAATGAATGAATGAATGAGCGAGTGAGTGAGTGAATGAATGAATGAATGAATGAATGAATGAATGAATGAATGAATGAATAACAGTATCAAATACTTTTACGTAGCATACATGCCTAGCAACAGTGCCTGATGCACACATATTTATAACACAAAATTGAGATCACGTCCGAAGGCACGAGAAGACAAGACGCCAATCGGGAGGAATATGCCCCAGTGCTGACATCTGGACCACCTGTGATACGTCTGTACAGAGGGTATGTATGTGCGAACACTGCAGTACAGGCGAATATCCATGGTAATCCGATTTCATAGGACACACCTCAACATGCTATTTACAACACAGCTCAATTAGCAACCCGCTTAATCGTGAAAAAAAAAGAAAACATGAAACGACATAACAACCCGCCTTGCAGACCTCCTTGAACAGAGTCCGGGCAAAACAAGCGCACCAACACAAAACACTTCCAAACAGAGGTTGTTCACCACGTACCTAGACAGACTCCAGTCCCCTCCTGTTGGCTTTACCAGTGCTCTCTAATACAGACCAGTAGGCTCATTGGGCGGCCGTACCTGGGTGACGAAGGGGCTGATTTGGTTTTTGAGCCGGAGCAGTTTGCCGAGTCCCTTTTCGACCACCTGTGGGAAGCTGAGCAGGCGCAGCGTGTGCCCGGTCGGCGCAGTGTCGAACACCACCACCGAGAAGTTCATGTTTTTCACCAGCCTGCCGGGAGGAGTAGCGATGTCAGACAGGCAGCATGAACCGACATCGGGTGATCGGATGACATGGCAGAGCCTCCCGGTCACAGGAAGTGACGTTAGGTAGGTGCTGACAACAAACTCATAGGACGAAATGTGATACTTCAACAGAGCAGGCTCCGAAGAAATGGTAGAAGTTCTTGCTAGAAAAATCGCCGTCACATTTTACAACGACGAAATACGTTTCAGATATTGACAACACAAGGACCACAGCAAGGACATGCCTATTCGAAAGGGCTAGGTGATCAAAATACAATTGGTAGGTAGAGTTGTCGAAAACAACGCCGGTTACGCCACTTGTTAGGATAGAAACAGGAAAAAGAGCCTAAACACTCCCTCAACTGAGAAAACAATATGGTCTGAGACAGTTTTTGTGGGCAGTTTAACAAAGAATAAGAGCACAGCATTTGAACCCCAGGACAAAAACATGCATACAGCCACCACAGGAACAGGTACAGTGTCCGAGAAGCTCTAGCTCTCAGGTAAACGGACGCAAGACGTTCGTGTAAAGATGACATCAATCGAATGCCAAATTTACAGGAACCGCATTGTTTATTCTTGGCACGGAAATGACCCGGTAAACCACGCGCCATGACTGGTCTGTAAAAACACAACTCGTCAACTCTGCTCCATCCCCAAACATTATGCAACAAACGTTGCCTGGAAGCAAACAGTGTGATTGCTGACGAAAAACGCAAAAAGACAAAGCCCAACTGGAAACACAATCTGCCAAGCGTGGCGTGCGTGAGCTTCACGGGTAAAATGCGCGACCGAGTAGGCGGCTATTAATTAACGAGGACAGTCCGGACTGACTGAAATGGACGTCACTGGGACACACACAAAAATCGACCGAAAAAAAAACGAACTCAGGCGGATACATTGCGCCAGCCCGCAGAGAACAAAAAGTATCGGTGACATATGGTAAACCAGGATAACTCATAACTGCTGCCTAAACACGAAAAATGAGTCCTTCAGTAGGTACGATTCAGTGCAACACATGTTAAAATATTACACAAAATAACACAGAATATTACATCCGTTTCTCATATTTCAATTGTATCCTAGCACCCAACCTACCATACTGGAACAAGAAAAACTCCTGGAAGTAAGTCAGATGACGGAAATCCGAGTCCTCCAAGATGAAGGAAATGATGAAAATATCTGATTACGAGCGAGCGAGCGCAGCGAGCGAAGCGAAGTCTTTTCAATATAACGGAAAAATCTCAGTATGAGCGGCCCGGCCCGGCCCGGCCTGTAACGCTTTTGAGAGGCCTATATCTCAGCAACCGCTGGACCGATTGGCCTGCGGTCTTTTTTTGCTGGGTAGACCCATCCCTTCTACCCCGTAATTGACTACTTTTGATACATCTCAGTGACCGTCGTGGCACGTGCCACGTGAAAAGTCAAGGGTGTTCAAGCTGTTTTGCAAAAGTAGTGATTTTGATAGGCTAATATCTCAGCAGCCGCTTGGGCGATTGTCTTGCGGTAATTTTTGTAGGGTAGCTGCATCCCTTCTACCACAGGTCGGATACTCTTGATCTATGTGAGTGACCCCCACTGCACGTGCAAAATGCAAAAAGAAGAGGTGCGAAATTTGTTCCCATTTCAATAACTCGGTAATTACTGGGGCGATTTCGCTGAAACTTGACATACAGGTAGGCA